GGGAAGCAACCCGATGCTCAGGTTCCCGAGGTTTCTCAAGATATACCGGGTGTACAATTATTACTACATGGTCGAGTCGAGGACGGTCTACCCGAATCTGTGGCGCGTGTTGAATCTGATACACATACTGCTTATACTGGCGCACTGGTTCGGCTGCTTTTACTACTTGCTCAGCGAGGCGGAAGGATTCCAAGGGGACTGGGTCTACCCGTACAGGCCGGGGGAGTACGCGACCCTGACAAGGAAGTATCTCGGCTCGCTCTACTGGTCCACCCTCACCCTCACCACGATCGGCGACCTACCCACGCCGGAGACCAACGCCGAGTGAGTGATAATGTCTCTACGACTGTACACGCTCTTCCTTATTTTCTTTTTTTCCTTTTCTTCGATTTTCGTTTTGGTTTTCGTTTCTTTTTTTTTTTTTTTTTTTTTCTGGTCTTCTTGCGTGTTAGGTGGGTGCGAGAGAATTCTTGCGTTATTTCTTATGATATGGAAAAAAATGTTTTTTAGGTTAGTTTTAGGATTATTGGCTACTTTATGCATTTTTTACAAGTATAATTTAGATTAGGTTAGGTTAGGTTAGGTTAGGTATGCGCAGGATGATTCTCGTAAAGTGTTTGTTATGCGAGAAGAATTTTAAACGGAAGTTATATAAGTACGAATATAATATAGTTATTATATATTATACTTTATACGTTTTGTATAAGTATAATTTAAGTTAGGATGATTCTAATTAATTTTAATTTCTCGTAAAATATTTCTTCCAAAAGAACGAAAAAAGAATAATTATCACATAATTTTAGGTTAGGTGCGAGATGATTCTATAATATCAATATAATCATATAATACAAAAAATGTACGGTTATTTTACGCCAAGTTGGATCAGACTACGTGAGAAATAGAACAATTTTTTAATAACGTTAAACTCCATACTACGATTATTCAACAACTCGATCATAGAGAAATTGAATGTATTTAAATCCACAAATTTCCACGAACATTTTATATGGTTTGAACGTTGCCAAAGTCCAAATATATCTGCACCCACCTAACACGCATACTCTTCACATATATGTATATATATATATATATCTTTATACATCTTTCTTTTATCTCTTTATGGGCTTGACAATTCTTTCGCCTCTTATACATGCAAACTCTTGTCCGTATCTGTTGTCCGTTTGCTCGCCGGTTAGACGGTTACTCGTTCAAGTGTTCGCCACACAGGGCGCGGCAATCTCTAACTAGATATCACCCAATCGACACTCGAGACTTGAGAGAGAATGGAATACCGCAGCGTCGTTGATTTATACGCAGGCACAGTTGGGCCGATTTACACGGATACGATCTGCGCGGGGAGTCGAGTTTTTGGCAAAGCAAAAACCGTTTCCAATGTGGGTGGAAATGGTAAATTCTGAGAATTTGCGGATAATTTTTGACAGTTGGGAGTTTGGGAATTCGGAGGGAAAGTGGGTCGTGGGGAATTTAAATTAGGTCGGGATTTGAATCGTGTTGGAATCGGTGTTTGTAGCGTAAGTACATCGAAATAGGATTACGATAGGGGAACAGAAAGATAATCCTGGAATAAATATATCCGCAAGGAGAAAACAATTTTTCATGCGTTTTATTTTTTTTTTTTTTTTTT